GCCTATGTTATCTATATTAGCTAATAAAGCATAGCGCTTGTTATGCAAATTATAAAGCAACTGTCTACACAACTACCCTACACTTCAAGACCTGCCGAACATAACAGAAAACGGAATAGCAAAACTATTATCCAACCTAAATCCATTTAAAGCTGCGGGTCCAGACACCATTACATCAAGGGTGCTGAAGGAATTACAAACACAACATACTGTATCCACTACAACACGGATTCAGGAGAGGCCTATCCTGCGAAACACAATTAATTGAGTTTATTAATGACATCACCATAAACATGGACGCAGGAAAACAAACCGACTGCCTTATAATGGATTTTTCTAAGGCCTTTGATAAAGTAAGTCATAGCCTACTTACACACAAACTGGATCAATATAGCATAAGAGGGAAAACCAATAGGTGGATCAAAAACTTCCTCGCCGACAGGAAACAAGTCGTAGTTGTAGAAGGGGAAAAATCTGATACAATCAACGTCGATTCGGGCGTCCCACAAGGATCAGTTCTTGGACCCAGTTTGTTCCTTTTCTACATAAACGACATGCCAGAGGGAATCCGATCAAGGGTAAGACTCTTTGCTGATGATACACTCATATATCTCACAATATCATCGGACACAGAGAGCGACCACCTTCAGGAAGATCTGAATAAATTGGCAATTTGGGAAAACAAATGGAAAATGGCATTTCATCCAGATAAATGTAATGTTCTTACCATAACAAGAAAACGCAAGCCTATTATAAAAGAATATGTACTGCATGGCCACACCCTCGAATCTCTAAATTCTGCAAAGTACCTTGGCTGCACCATCAGCTCCGACTTAAAATGGAATAAACACATTAAAAACATATGTGTCAAGGCAAACAAAACCATAGGCTTCCTCAAACGTAACTTGAACATCAATAACAACACAATAAAAGAAACTGCATACAAGTCACTTGTAAGACCGACTCTAGAATATGCATGTACAGTCTGGGATCCTTACATATGTCATCAAAACAACAAAAACCGACTGGAAATGGTACAGAGGAGAGCAGCCAGATATGTCACTAACAGATATCATAACACATCATCTGTTAGTGACATGCTTAACAAACTAGAATGGAAAACCCTCGAAGACCGTAGGAGAACATCAAGGCTTACAATGATGTATAAACTTGCCAACGGGATGGTGAAAGTTGACACCAGTAATACTCTCATTCCACCAGATAGGCTATCCAGAAACATCAACACAAATGGATACCAAGTACCATCTTGTAGGACCGAAGTGCGGAAGGAATCTTTTTACCCAAGGACGATACGAGACTGGAATGCCCTACCACATACTGCCACCAATACAGGTAGTCTTGAATGCTTCAAGACTTACCTGCATGAGATGAACTAGATCAACGCCAAGATGTTTTTAAATTCACTGTATATATGATGTATAGCACAAATTCAAATCAATTCAATATTTATTTTTTTGTCTAAATTTTAAATGCGCATCCAAAAAGAGGCAAAATAATCAACTTATTGATGGTGGCCGCGTATTGGTAGAAGTAGAAGTAGAAGGTGTTCTAAAATGTTACTGGTTTCCTCAAAAGCAGTTCTGTTTACATTAATGTCTACATAACAGAACGGGTTTATAATAAGTTGGATAGGATCAACTGGAAACGAAGTTGTAACTTTAGCTAGGATCAGGCTTCCATTATTTATGATTTTTGACATAATTGGTATTCTTGCCTCATCTAACTTTTCACATAACAGGATAAAGTGTTCCACAGTTTCATCCGCTTTACTACAGAGTTTACAAGTTGAACTAGTATGATTCTTTGAAAATGATGCCTTCTGGGTTTGTAGGATATAGTTCCCAGTTGCAATTTTAAGACGTACAGGAATTTTTCTGATGTCCTTTAGATTTGCGCTGACCGAAATTGCTAAAGGATGTACGGATCCAATGTTATATTTATGGTCCATGAATTCAAGTATTGAATAACCTTTTGATTCATCGATAATTTTTGATGTCCAATAGTCATGAATTTTGGAATAAACTAGCTTTTTCCATTGAAATTTTGATAACGGGTTGTTTAAATAAGCATACAAGTCAGTAATTTCATATTTTAAGCATAATTCCTTGATTTCAATAAACCAGCTGTGACTATTGTGGGGTTTTATCTGTAGCTGTCTTTCGGCTAGCCGCCATTCAATTGAATCACATTTCGCTCTAGATATCTTACCAAATAAATTGATAGCTTTGACATGGATTTCAGCGTCAATAGGGAGTAAACCAGATAAGGTATAAACTGCAGAATCAGCTACATTGAAATATAAAGACAAAATTTGTTTGATCCATTTTTCAGTTATACTGAATAGAGATATTATATAGTATTTTTCCTTTTGGTAGTAAAATTTCCAAACCATAAGTTAATATTGGCAGAATATAAGTTCTTATTAATGATATTGAGGTTTTACTATCTAATCCATTCTCTCCATGGAGGCCTGTGCCCATTAGACTGTACATCGCTCTACGTGCTTTCTTTATATTTTCATTTACTGTTGTGTCAGCAGTCTTTATCAGATTTTTGAATTCCAATATGGGAGGCGTTTGGAACGATTGGCATATTTTTTCCATTTAATTTCCAAAATCCATCTTCGATCTCATAAAATTTACGGCAGGTTTTTACTGGTATAACAACACTTTTTGTAGGCTGCAATAAATATCCTTCCCTTTTGCTAAAATCCAAAGCTATGCCGTTAATCATGGTTTGTAGTTCTAGAGGGTTATTGGAGACAAGTGCTACATCGTCAGCACATGAAGGAGCACAGCAATTGATGTTCCATACTCTTCCACCAGAACCTGATGTACTTAAAATGTTAAGCAGTGGATTAATGTAGATTTTATATAATTCAGCGCTGAATGCACCTCCTTAAATGTAACGAAATATTATTTTCAAGATTTTGTTTTCCAGATTATCACTCTTTCTATAATGGAGCACTACCTACAGTTAGGATACTGTAGTCTGCTGTCTACAATTTATCAATGCATATATATAATTGTTTCGAATAAATACTATTAAAAAATTAATTGATTTTGTATGTAGATAGAGATCTACACTGATAAATCATAGTAAATATCATCGGATAGTCCAAATAATTATGACGTCTTGAAAGGCCAGGCGCGTAGCTGCCTTTACGCAAAAAATCATTTGCTTGCACATTTTTTTCACACAAAAAAAAAATTCTGAAATTGAATTACGGATAGTCTTTAGTTTTTACAGATTATCGTGTCGGGCGGTGTTTAAAGCCTAAATCTCTGATGTCGTCTCTAGCAGTGAATAATAAGGAACTATATCCTTCAATATTCGCAATCTTCTCAATTCTAGTTACAATGCCAGTAACTACATCAACTACTGAACGGTCATTTAGTGCATTACGGCGACCGAAAACTTATCTCCGTTCAACCATGGTACAGGACAGACTATCTTCGTTGGCGCTAATACATGTTCACAAAGAAATGGATATCAACACCGAGAGAGTTCTGCGATCATTTGCGTTGGCAAAAAATAGATATATGGACTTTCGATATTAACTTTACTTTAAGTCTTACATGCAGTATTAACATTTAATAATACAGGCTCAATACAATCACCTTGAAAACATCTTATATTTATATCCCTTACTTATAAGTCAAGACTTAAAAGTGGCCGTTAGATTTCGTATTCCCATTGTCCGTTCGTCCGAAAGACTATTAATTCACCTGGGGTATCTGTGTCCCAAATGACCTTCTACCGTTGTCGTAGAAACCTCTACTTTGATTTAAGAATGACCTTCGTGAGAAACACAACGGGTGTCTTGCAAGAAGCAGGAACTGCTTACCCTTCCGGAGCACAGGAAGTCGCCACATTGTTTTCTGGGTTCGTCTGTATTTATTTTTCAATGTTGAATGTTTTTGTTTCTCCTTTTGTGTCTTATCTGTTCCGGGGTTTGTCAATTGTCAATTGATTAACGCTTCGGTTGTCGACTCGTCCTGATCTTCTCGTTTTATAAAATTTATTTTATATTTGAAAATAACCATGTTAATAACATAAGCAGCAAATTACGGAAATCACTAGACTTTTACTATCGTTTCATGAAAATATGGTATAGTAAGAAACAGATATGGTATTTTTCATGTTCAAAGCAGTCACTGTAATTACTCATATGCCCGAAGCTTCATGGGGATTCGCTTCCCTGGACCATCGTCTACGGTGCTGCCCTGGATTCCCGACTAGGGTGCTACCCTGGACCAGCTGGGGACTTTGAGCGGTCCATAGCCTCCTCCCTTGCCGAATCATTATAAAGTCCACAAGTATTCACAAAATAGGAGTTTGGGCGTGAAGGAGTAATGTGAATTTCATAAGCATGGCATACCGGGAAAATGCCCGAAAAAAAGTTATCATTTTCTGCATAAAATGGTCCAAAAAAATGTTTTGCCTCGCTTCGCTCGGCGATAGTTATGATTGCACTTTATTTAAGTCCAGCTACGCCCCTGAAGGCTATTTTAATTTTAATGCAAACTCATGGACAAGTGAATTCTGGCTCAAAGTGGTCTACATATATTTCTCTTTCACCAAATGTTTCATTTCTGCAAATTTGTTTGCTAGTTTAAGTAAACAATGACATCAAAAGCACCATAAGGGTTACTTTTACGTTCTTAATTGAAGTGGGTAAATTGGTGGTCTAAACGTAACAATAACTTTTTTAATCGTAGCCAGTGCCTAATAGGTGGTGGGTTGATAGGTTCGGCGGTCATTGTTGAATTTTTTTATATTAGTATTAGTAACAATATGATTCATAGGCGTAAATATACTGGTGTGCCGTGCACATTCGTGTTGCACTGACATATCCGCTTTTAAAACTGTAATTTTACAGGACATTTGATAATCCGTATGATACAAAAGTAGTGGTACTCCAGATAATGGAGGGAAGAATAATAAGAAGAAGATCTATGGTACTTTTACTAGTTTCTTTCCTATTTCCAAAATGTCTCCTTGAACTTGGCCGATATTAACAAAAATGAACCTAGCACTGAGACTGCTGCTGGCAAAGCCGTCTTACAAATCATTTATTCCAATCTGCTCTTCATTTAAAAAATGTCCTTCACACATATCAGAGAAATTCCGTGCATTTTCTACGAACAAACCACTATTGATGTCCAATGAACGACCTTTAAAATTAATGAACTTGCAAAAAATAGTTCAGCCCAATTTTATTTTATGGCTGAAAAATAAATACTTTGAATTTTTGATAAGGAACTACTATGATGCAACGTTTTCACAACCAGAATTTCTAGCAGGAGCCACACAAGTAAGTTTATATAATCAGTGTTGATTGTGTAATTTACTGAATTAGGCCTATCACTTGGTTTGTATTTACATGAGCAACACGATAGGTAACACTTGTGGAGCAGAATCTGCTTAACCTTCCAGAGCACCTGTTATTACCCTGGTTTTTGGTGGGGTTGGTGTTGCTCAGTCTTAAACAAAAAAAATAAGGAGATGAGGTATGATTGCCAATGAGACAACTATCCACCAAAGTTCAAATAAAGTGGATGTAACTTGTAAGCAATTATAGGCAACCGTACTGCCTTCAACAATGAGATTATCCATACCGTATAGTCAGCTATAAAAGTCCCCGACATGAGAAATGTGAAACAATTCAATTGGAAAACTAACATGACTAACAGCCTGATTTATAAAAATTTTTTTTTTAACAATTAATGAAAAACAAATATGACAGACATGAACCAATGACAACCACTGAACTACAGGCTCCTGACTTGGGACAGGCACATAAAGAATGTGGCTGGGTTAAACATGTTTGTGAGTGCTCAACCCTCCCCTAACCTTGGACAGTGGTGTAAAAACACAACATAGGACAAACTATAAAAATCAGGTGAAAAAAGGCTTAACTCATAAAGATAGATACAAAGCACAAAACATTAAACATAAACACAGACTGGACGTGGCAGGGTATTTATCCATCCCTCATCCGTAACAACAAAAAGGACACTAAGTACAGATCTGAAAGTACTCACAGTTACTGAAAGCTAGTTCAACACCAATTACAACTAATAAAAAAAAATCATGTATCTAAGACTAAAATATCAATCAGTACACATCCAACATCCTATGGATTTAGTGTAAAGACGTCATTAACAGTGGAAAATTATGACCTTGTGCAATGCCAAAAAAAAGGTGTCAATAGATTGTAGTACCGTTAAAGTGCATATGTGTATAACAAAACTATTTAGTATGATTTTTTTTTAAATTTAATGATAACCATGATAACAAAATCAATATTTATACAAATAAAAACAATATTCAAAGATCTAATTACAGTGTTGAATTGGTAACCTTTTAGAATAAGTTTATTCAAAGGATTGATAAGTTTACCCGGATCGTACATATATATAAATTTCTGGGCTCGATAAAAATCACCATAAAAAAGGATGTGCTATTCTGTCTGAAATAAGTTTTTTATAGGTACAGCCAAACTTGCAGACCAAATCTTTGTGTCTATGGAAGAATTTAGTAAACGTTTTAAGTAATTTGTGGTAACGAAATCCCTGACTTAATGATTTACCAGTAATACATAGATTAAGCTCATTTAGTTTTCATTGTTGTGTTTTGTGTACTTTTATTTGTCTTTTTATCGTTTTTCGTTTTTTGCCATAGCATTGTCAGTTTCAACTTTAAATCCAAACTCATAATATAAGTCCCCTATGTATCTATTACCTCTCTGTTACCATTTTAGAATCTAAAGAGTTTTGCCTTGTGGGTTAATTTCATTGTTCATACACTGACATTCAAATAATGTTATAGCATTGGCTTAATATCTATGTTGAGGATGTTGTTGAGCAATTTCAAGGTTTTGCTGTACACTTTTAAAAATATTGCCCTGATTGCTTTTAATTTATTAGATCAATCTCTAAAAAGTAGCAAACTGCATAACAAATTTATTGCACAGGAGACTGCCAAGTTTTTTATAAAATGTTAAAAATAAACATTGAAATACAACAACAATAATAGCTGAATAGTAGAAGTGATGTCATGATACCCTTATGAAATCTACTGACCCCTACAGATCCAAAGGTGATCACCAAGTGTTGGCATTAAATCAATCACATCGTCACTATTTTACCAAGGTGCGATAATCACTTATAAATCATTATGACTTAAGACATGTTACAAGACACTTGTTTATTATTTCATATTTAGGCTATCACTCATGTGTCTAGTCTTATATCAAGGGGACAGTTTGAAGATTTAGAAGAATTGGTTGATCCTGATGTAAGTTAGATAACTTGATAATCTGCAGAATAACCATTGATACTGTTATCATAACATGTTTGGGATTTCATTGATACCAATAGGAATATTTGATGGTTATTAACAAATTTAAAAAGCATTTATGTTATTGTAAACCGCTCTGTGCAAGGTAATAGAGGTTTACAATGTATCATACTATGTTTACAATGTATCATACTATGTTTTATCAACAACAAAAACTTACTTATTTTAAACTTAATTTTCAACAAAAAGTGAAGTATGGAAACCCTATTTTATTTCTAGTTCTTTTTTTCTTTAAACCATAGCCAAAAAGGGGGCTATCTCATAATACTTAAAAATGTATCCTCTTAATACATGCTTGATTCATTTTGATAACCAGAAAAACTGTACTATACATTGATTTTTTTTCGTTATTTCATTTACACATTTTAGACACTGTACATTTAGGCAAACTGGATCCTTTCATTTTTAGCTCACCTGGCCTAAAAGGCCAAGTGAGCTTGTCCCATCACTTGGCGTCCAGTGTCTGGCGTTGTTGTCCGTTGTCGTCTTTTATTTTACAAAAATATTCTCCTCTGAAACTACTGGGGCCAAATTTAACCAAACTTGGCCACAATCATCATTGGAGTATCTAGTTTAAAAAATGTGTCCGATGACCCTGCTTGCCAACCAAGATGGCAGACATGGCTAAAAATAGAACATAGAAGTAAATGCAAGTTTTGCCTGTTATTTTGAAAACGGCTATCGTTTCACAAGTCATGTTTTTCTCTGACTGTTAATGATGTCTTTACACTAAATCCATTGGATGTTGGAAGTGTACTGATTGATATTTTAGTCTTAGATACATGATTTTTTTAATTAGTTGTTATTGGCTTTGAACTAGCTGTCAGTAACTGTGAGTACTCTCAGATCTGTACTTAGTGTCCTTTTTGTTGTTAGGGATGAGGGATGAATAAATACCCTTCCACGTCCGGTCTGTGTTTATGTTTAATGTTATTCTGCCTTGTATTGATCTGACGAGTTAAGCCTTTTTCAACTGATTTTTATAGTTTGTTCTTATGTTGTGCTGTTACACCAATGTCCCAGGTAAGAGGTAGGGTTGAGCGCTCACAAACGTGTTTAACCCCGCCACATTCTTTATGTGCCTGTCCTAAGTCAGGAGCCTGTGGTTCAGTGGTTGTCGTTGGTTCATGTCTGTCATATCTGTTTTTTTGTTAATTGTTTATGTCTCGCCCTGACGGAGTCAAAAAGCGAGACATAGGTATGCTGTTTCTGGCGACGGCAGCGTCAACAATGTATTAGTTTGTGATTAGGTCTAGTTCATGGTGAACCACTAGTGGTAGGTCAATGATATTTGGTATGCAGTTGTATTAGCATTGGCACATCTCATTACCATGGAGATTATTTGGCCCCGCCCCCTCAGTCAAGGTCTATTGACTTTGAAACTTTTCATAGTTTACATGTATTAGTTTGTGATTAGGTGAATTTATGGGGAACCACTAGTGGTAGGTCAATGATATTTGGTATGCAGTTGTATAAGCCTTGGCATATCTCATTTCCATGGAGATTATTTGGCTCCACCCCCTTAGTCATGGTCTATAGACTGAAATTTTTGCTAGGTTAACATGTATTAGTTTGTGATTAGGTCAGTTCAAGGGGAACCATTAGTGGTAGGCCAATGTTAATTGGTGTTCAGTTGTATAAGCATTAGCACATCTCATTTCCATTGAGAATATTTGTCCCCGCCCCCTCAGTCATGGTCTATTGACTTTGAAACTTTTCCTTAGTTTACATGTATTGGTTTGTGATTAGATCAGTTTAAGATGAACTGCTAATGTTAAGAGAATGATATTTGGTATGCAAATTTATTGGCATTTGCAAGTATCGTTTCCATGGAGATTATATAGCCCCACCCCTGATCATGGTTCATTGACTTTGAAACTTTTACACAATTTACAAGTTAATGTTTGTGTTTAGGTTTGTTTAAAGGGAACGACTTATGATAAGTCAATGGTATTTGGTATGCAGTTGTATTAGCATTGGCACATCTCATTCCATGGAGATTGTTTAGCCATGTACCTTCAGTCATGGTTCATCGACTTTGAATATTTGCATAACTTACATGTTAAAGTATTGCTATTTTAATTTCAACATTTGCATTATCAAAATTACAAAAAGGCGAGACATACTAGTATCTCTGTGATAACAGTTTATTCCCATTATTGCCTATTATATTGAAAACTGTAATAAATAGATAGAAACTTAAAAATAGCACAAATGATCAGCAAGACAAGATCTATAAATGAGCCAAAATGGCTGAAATCTTCAGTAGACTTGTTTTGGAGTTATTGCCCTTTAATAATATTTTTTTACATTTTTTTGCATTTTTTGCCTATTATCTTGAAACCTATAGCAGGTAAACAGAAACTTTGAAAAGGAAAAATTATCAGCAGGATAAGATCTACAAATATGTCAACATAACTGAAATTGTCAGTTAACTCTTAATAGAGTTGTTCCCCCTTAATGCTGATTTTTACTTAAAAAAATTGCCATTGTTGAAGATGCAGGTGAGAAAAACAGGCTCTTCAAAGCCTCTAGTTTAACTGACCAGGTCATTTTGGTTGTTTGAAATTGTACAAGCAACTTTGTATTGTTATGTAAATTATTCAACGCTATCCACAGAAGTATGTTAATTTTATTATTTATCACACTTATTTAAGACACAATATGGAAATTAATGCTATTCCAATGGAGAAATTTATCCCTTTTCTCAATATACTGATTTAGATTTTATGTCCAACAAACATACTAATGATGAAAATAACATTATTAAAGATCAAATATTATTATAGAATGATAATGATTGAAATCAAGCTTATTGTTTTGCCCTTATATTATCTTACAGTGGCTGGGGAGGCGAAAGTCTAATCTTTTGTACGTATGCATGCATTAGGTATAAAAAGAAACCTTTAATCATTAAAAGTTTCAAATCACATTAAAATCAGCCTGTAGTTCAATGGTTCTCGTTGGTTCATGCCTGTAAATTTTTTTGTTAAAAATTAAGCTGTTAGTTTTTTTGTTTGAATAGTTTCACATTTTTTCATGTTGGGGTCTTAAATAGCCAACTATGTGGTATGGTTTTTATATGCTAGACGAAGACAGGATGTAAAATGGTATATCAATGTCCGTCTGTCCATCAACACTTCGTACAATAACTCAAACTGGCTTTAACCAATTCTCATACAACTTTAACACAACATTAGAATTGACAGCAGAAAGGTCCCTTTCATTAGTGAATTTTTTGCTTCGCATCACGGTGCAGAGCTATTAGTTTCAGTCGATATACACGCCATCTTGAAATAATTTCTTATCACATATAGATTCTGATTGGTTGCTAAAAAAGGGCCGGAAATACAGCAACAGCTATTGGCTTAAATGAGATAAAGAATTACAGACTTTTCTCCTCTCAGGATAAGACATCTAATGCCGGAAAATTGACTATGTGTATTTCAGTTCCGATCAACTGTCATTAATTCATGTTCGTTTTATTATGCATATATTGCACACTGAAATTCAACATTGAAATATTAATTATAAATAGGTGTTTATTTGCTTTCTTAATCTGCAATATGCACGATTTGTTTTGCTGAACAATGTTCCTATACAATGTTTACAAAAATGCAATTATCTGTATTTTATAACTTCTGCCAATCTAGGCACACCTCCAGAGTCGTGTCTATTTGTAAATGTTTTAATTTTCAACAAGTGAAGTGAACAAATATTACCTTAAATTAGGAAAGAGCGAAGCAGTCCACAGCTTTTTACAAAGCTCAAACTTGTGTTATTATTGGATTTGTCATTCCAGAGTTATGGAACTTTGACTGTTAGATTTAAGGCAATTCTTCATAAATCTTGCACTAACTCCAATATTCCTGAATAGATTACCTCCAAATTTTACATTAATGTAGGGATTGATCAAAGGAAGCTCCCTTTTGATTTTTTTTAGTTTTCTGGTTTCTGGTTCCATAGTAAAGGAACTTACTGTTACATGTAAGGCAATTTTTCATAAATAGCGCACTAACTCTAGTATTCCTGGATTGATTTCCTCCAAACTTTACTTTATTGTTGGGATTGATCAAAGGAAGCTACATTTTAATTTATTAAATTTTCAGGTCTGTTGCTCCAGAGTTATGGGACTTTAATCACTTGAGTTTGCTTTGAATGGTTCAGTGGAAACTTTACATACTTGTTGGAATTGGTGAACATAAATTATGATTAAATGCCCTGGAAATATCCCATTTTATTCTTGCAACCGTTTCAATATGCACAATAAGGGTGTATCATGCACTCTTGGCATAGCTGTTTATTCTCATTGTTGAAGGCCACACATTTACCTTTTATTGCTTATATCCATTTATTTGAACTCAGGTGGATATTTGTCTCATTGGCAATCATACCATTTATCCTTATTTTTATACTGTAGAAATGTACTGGGAAATGTTTAGAACTAATTGTAAGGATGTGAGAGTTTATGCTCCATGTTTGTGGCCTCACTTTGACTTTGAGATGAAGAAACAGCAATACAAAAAGTTGTTACCTTGCTTTTGATTTTACTCTGAGGTGCACATAGTAATTTTTACTTGTAGGCTGTTGAAGAAATTAAGAGGAATTACTATTGCTTAAGTGACAAGCAACACAGAGACTTGAAAGTAATGGAAGACCATATTATAAAAATGTTTGTACATCAAATTGGCATGATGTTTGGAAACTCAGGTATGTATCAACAAATGTATTTATTTTATGTTTGAGAATGTACATAGAATGCTTGCAGTTACAGAAAGCAAGCTCAAAATACTGAATTTCAATTTTTTTTAAAACTCAGGATGATTAATTAGTTTGATATATTGAAAGGACACCAATCTATTGTTGAAGACTGTTGTTGACCTATAGATGACCTTTTGGTTATTTGTGTGTCATTCATTACATTGCGGTTTATTTGACATATATACTCCACATATCTTTTTATTCATATTGATGTCATCAGAGTGTTGATTCTAAAATCAGACAACTCTTCATTGTGTCTTTATTAGTAAACAATAACATATAATGTAGTACTGTTCCTACCATGAAATACAGCAAAACATTCTATTTTAGTAGCAAAGAGAGGGGATCTAAATTACCTTTCTGTTAAAAGTCTTGTAGATAAATGAATATTAATGGTAAACAATGCTAGGTTTAAAGATTTAACAATGAATCACTATATTATATTATTTGATATAAGTTTATTCAGTGAAGCTGAAGGTTTCAAAGAGCAGTTGTTGTACTTGTTTTCTTTGTCAACAACATGATCATACTTAAGTATTCCTCATTGAAATTTTATGAACTCATACACAATGCCAAGAACCAAAACTTGCAGACAGAGTTTGAATTAGGGCAGTGAGTCACTTACCGTTTTAGAGTTATGCCCCTCGATAACTTGGAAAATTGCAAATTATTTCATTTCTGCAATCTAACTTAAGTTTGCCTCATCAAAATTTTATAAAACTCATACACAATGCTGAGAACCACAATACGCAGACAGAGATAACATTTTGGAAGTATGTCATTAATGGTTCTAGAGTTATGCCCCTTTTTAACTTGAAAAATTGCAAAGCTTGAGCAGGGACATTCTCAGAAACATTCTTCTAATATTTTTTTTTAAATATTTTGATCAGCTTTAACTGGCCAAATAATTTGATGCAGGAAAACTATATGTAAATTTTTTTGTCATATATTTATGATAAGTTAAAGATTCGGCCTATGAAGGAGGGTATTGTGGTAGATGTCAATAATGCTATATCTTTGCTTTGAAGCACATGAATATCAACAAGTTACAGAATTTTCATAAGAAAAATAATCAAATCACGTCATAATTTTCCCAAACAGCTCAGGGGAAAACATAAACAATGCAATCATGTAAAGTTTCACTGATTAACTGTATAATATAAACACAAGAAAGAAAAGTGAAATTGTACACAGGAGAAGTTATCTCAAGAAAAAATACACTGTATATATATGTACCAAGTGTGTGTCGAGATTTTGTTACACGAGTTAACCATCATAACACCAATGTAAGCCTGCATGCTGTTAATTATACTGAAATAACTGTATGAATTATAGTATAAAAACAAGGAGATGTGTTGCCATTGCCAATGAGTCAAATATCCACCAGATACCAAGTGTATATTTTCAGATGTTGTTTTAATACAAGAGTAGATGGATTTTAGGGTACAAAAAATGTTTTTTTCTTTCTGATTATCCCAATAACAGTATGTTAAATTATGAAAATTCAACAATTGAACTAGATTGAGTTAAGGCAGTGTTATGCCAGGTTATGAGTACAAAAAAAAAACCAACAAAAAACAGACAAATAGGAGCGTTAGTGTTTATACTTTAATCGATTGTTTTGTAAGGCATGATATAAATTTATGCTATTTAAGTTTTGTTTTTTTGCCATACAGGGAACGTATTTGTTGAAATTACTGTTGTGCTTCATTATAATTCCCCTGATGATAAAACACTTCAAGAAACCTCTCATGAAATAAAGACAGCAGAGGATATAATTAAAGCTGCCTTGGAAATAACAAAGAAAGTTGTCAATGCTAATTACAGGTAAAAAGTAAACAGTTGCAGTATTAAGTTCACCTCAGTATTATGTTATATAGATACAATGGATAAGCGTGGATTCTTGAAAAAGAAACCATGAGCCCGGAGGGCGAATGGTTTGTTTTTCATGAATCTACGCTTATCCATTGTATCTATAACTTAAACTATTGTGTTAATTTCTTTTCAAAATTAAAGCCTTTTCTTAATTAGAAGGTATTGTAAGTGAGTTTAAATAACCATGTTATTGTGTCCAACGATGCATTGATAATTCTCAGATCACAATTAATTGGTTAACAAAATACAAATATAACACTTCTACCTTTAAAGATCTTTATATTATCAGGCATCTGAATATTATCTGTTTTTACAAAATAAGACATATTCGAACTTATTTCTAATAAAATTGAGAACGGAAATGGGGAATGTGTCAAAGAGACAACAACCAGTCCAAAGAGCATATATAAAGTATATATAATAAGTATGTTACCGAAATTTCTAGCACTCCAGGCACATCACGATTTTCTAGCATAGGAATTTGCGAACAAATATTTGTAAAATTATGTAGTAAAACAGATGAAAATCATACTATATTTATACAACAAAAATTGACAAATAGAATGTAATCATTTTTGTTTCAAACATGTGAAATAGCCAATAATAATCCAAAAAATAAACGGTAAAACACGCTATTATTACTAAAATATCCACTTTAACATGCAAAATTAGAAAAAAACCAGAATTGGGACAACAGAGATAATACAGGGATTCGAACCTAAACCGACAAATCCCTATCTTTTAACTCGTTGATTTTAAGCATGCTAACCTCGCGGCTACCAACTTATACTATACGACTGCCCATTGTGTATATATAAAGGTACAACCCCTGTGTGTCCGATGTTCATTTATATATATAAAATAGACATCTAAGTTGTAACCCATTGGTAGCCGAGAGGTTTCGTCGATGTGTTGATGTCAGTCATTCATAACAGATTTCAAGGAGGGGTTCGATTCCCAGTGAAGGCATATACAAGTTACAAAAATTAAAAGTAAGTTTTTAGATTAATTCCATTAGTGAACAGAAATCAGTAAATTAGCCAATTCAAACTTAATGAAATTAGACACACAAAGGAAACAATTGAATATAATTTGGTGAGTCCATTTCAGCGGCAGATGTAGGAAGCGTTGATTCTAGAAAAAGAATCCACGGTAAATGAATAGGCTGACGTCACCACAATGGTTTAAATTGAAAGGAATGATTTTAGTATCAACAGTGTTTACATTTTTGTCTGTTTACTTGTGCGGTTTGTGAGACACATTAAGGGAACAATAATAGAAAGGAAACTGTATTTTGCATACTTACAAATATGTCTTCTGAGGTGTTGCATCCCATTTTATCAGGCCTGTATAATACGGAAAAATAAAAATAAAAATAAAATTTTGCTCTAAATGCCTATTGTCTTTTGATCATAAAAAAGCTTGGGTTCAAATTTAATAAAATTCTATGAAAGTTTCACAAAGTTATTGATTTCTTAAAAATACATTTAACCACAGACTGAACCTAAATGTTGATACTAATGGAACGTAGGCTATGTCTCCCTTCTGTCACACTTTTTTCTTGCAATTAACATCAAGATACAGTCTGGGGGGTATTTTTTTTAGACATCAAGAACTTTTTCACTGACTGCAGCAATCATAAGCATGAATCAGGGCTCTGGGGAATCTTTTACTATTTTTTAGAACATGTCAAGTTGACGTAAGATATACCATTTGTGGCAAAATTTAATTTTTTATATTTTTGTTTTTTTCTTTGCAGATTTATCAAAGAATGCACAAAGGGTTCAGAGAGTGACTGGATCATTAACGGAGTGAACCATTTTTCTATATTTAGTAATAAAGACGAGGATTAAAACTCAAATTTGAATGTTTTTCTAAATGAAATGTTTCTTTGTTTATATAATATTAAAACTTGTGTTAAATATTCATTAGTCAACAACATGTAAAAATTACTGAAAATACCTAACTATTATATAAAAGATTAATTTATTTGTAACAGAAATTTAATGATGGCTGCTACAGACGAATCATCATTATATCAGCTCTTTAATTTTTGAATAAGTTTTGGATGTTCAAATATTCTGGCTTCGAGCATCACTGAAGAGACATTTATTGTCGAAATGCCAAGCTGGTGCAGTAAAATTATCACTGTTTACATTATTTAAGGAGGAGAAACTTATATATACCTTCAAATACACTGAATGAAAAAAAAACAACAAATATGCATAAAGACACTCACTGATGTTTTACTTTATGAACTAGGAATTTGAAAGTTTGTCTAGGTTAAAGAAAGTATATGAACTCAACTGTCCTATAAAGACACTGATAGCAAAAAAAAAAAGAGATAAAAATGTAAACTTAGGAAGGACAAAAATAGAACCATGCTGTTAAAAAGAAATAAACAGTTAAAGTACTTTACAAAAAGTGTTTCAGCATTTTTTGTTGAAAAGAATAAATATTTTGTGTTATTGAAAACAAATGTGGTCAATAAACAAAATCCAAGTTTATTCAATTTTAACCATTTGCTTTTATAAATAGAAGCTTATAATGTGTATAAGCATTGTTTATTCAAGGGATAATCTATATGTAGACCAATGGTAGAGATGTTCATTGTCTTCAGGCACTTATGTGCTGTCCTAATTTAGTTAGGAGATGAGCTGTGGTTCTATCATCTATGAGAATTCTATCAGTTTAAGTTTAGTTGTCGATAGCAAAGGTCATAGTTTTGTAGTGCTAATGCTGAAAATTAAAATTTAGAGTGTTAATTAACTTTTGCATTAGCAAGATTTCTTTGGATTTTGTTTATTATTAATTTATTGACTATCTGATTTGAATTCTGAATACAAATCCCAGTGTATTGTAAGTGATTTTCAATTTACAAACTGTTACATAGTATCCAGTAAGCTACAAACAAAGTCAAACAAATTCCCTTTAGCTGGCCGTAAAAACAGGTTAAAGCGTACACATCCATACAGACAGTCTAGAAATAAAATGCTAAGAAAATCTTGAAAACTGAAATGTTCAGCAATTTAGAGAGAAATTACAAAAACTGAATATAATTATTCCAAAGAGTCTGCCTAAATCAAAACAACTATATGTAAAAAGCCGTTAAAAGTACAGATGCATTAGAATCAGCAGCAAACATCAGTGTGAACGAACATTCTTCTGTGATTACCACTGCATATGAAATCCGGTTATACACTGTTGATTCTCAAAATGTTGAAAGCTCAACACAAAATCAGAGTTGCGCAAGGAAACATTATTGGACAGTGATTTGGAAGTTTCCTTTGGATGTTCAGGTACAAATTCAAAAGAGGTATTTCATCACCTGATGCAATCATCATGGCTGTAATGAATATTATGTTTGCTAGATTCACACTATCTATGACTCAAAGTGTTATAAAGGTCTGCTGCAGCAGACGATCTCATCTGGCAGCTGGAAGATCCGAATCATTCCAGAAGAAGAATACATATAATTTGGAGCTGTGGTAACAGGCAAGAAACCACATTGATGTACCCATACTGCCAGCTACAAATCGTGTTAGCCAACAGTGATTTCCATAAAACAAAGGAGTCAGTGCAGATTCGATATTGTGTCCTCTTTGCTACAAAGGAGTATTATTGAGCGTAAGGATATAAATCTAGCTTCATTATTAACTCCTAGTTTTGAAGCACCACAACAACATGCAGTCATTGCTGGTATGGTTCATCTTAATGGGTGATAAACTGGACTCCCAGATTGCATAGGCATATTTCAATTCAGGAATTTGTTCAAGCTTTTGGTAAATTCAAAGGAATGTTGTGCTAAGATCGTCGTAATGAATTAGATTCATACGAGAAAGATATATCTATTCAGAATTTTTATGGATCAAAGTTTTATGATTACCATAGAATATCCTCTGCACAAACAGCAGTTCGTTTGAAGGAAAAGGGAGTCAAAGTCAGCTAGAGCTTACGTGACCGTGATTAATTGTCCTTAGTAGTGGGGTGGGGGACATCTGTCAACAACTGCAAATTTTGCCGATCATGTCACTCAGTTTTGTTCATTACAATCTACAAATCAAAGATCAACCTGTTTCATGAGTGTCTGGAACAGTTTCAAACAGATCCATTGATAAGCAAGGTCGCCAAAGTATATATAGAGAAAATAGGAGAGTGTGCAACACCTTCAATAATCCGAAAGTACGTGTAATGTATTACATGCGTGTTTAAAATGTAAGTAATCTGGTCATACAGCTATGTCATGTCGCAAACAACAGGTGTTATCATCATCATTTTCCAATTCAACAGCAAGACCTTGCAATTCTTCAGTGGTTAATTCCAAGAGAGAGAAATCAATGTGACTTAATAACAATAATCTTAAGATGTCTGCTTCAATCCCTGTAAATGTTGACAGACTAGAATATGGGTTAAAATAACATCCAAATAAGAAGTTTGTCTCTTATTTTGTAAGGTTTACTATCAGGTTTTGATTGTATGATACGTGAAAAAATTGTTGTAAACAAAGAATGTAAAACTAAATTTTTCGCGAGGTCACAACCTGATATTTTTGATTTAATTGAAAAAGAAGGTGCAAATGGTTTTGTTTGTGGTTGGATGTAGCAACTAGTAAATACACAAATAAAAAGCGCATCATCTTAGATTTGTCTTCTCCATGTGATGATCAAAACGGTCACATCAACTCAGATTCTTAAGATTGTTTTTTTGTAAAGAGTAAAACGAACAAACAGACTGAACTTAAACAACTTTCCGTTAATTTTCTTCTCATAATCGTCATGTTTGATATCTCCCTTTTTTATTTGCGTTTATTTTACAATACGGAAAATAGTACTAAGCAGTATCTATACTTAGGGTTTTTTATATTTAGCACCACGTAAAAAAAATTGATTTTAAATCATATGCAACATTTAACATGAAAAATGTAGTTAACAGCGTAATAGTAGAAGGAGTAGAACACCCCTCAGACCAAATAGAGTCTTCCATATTATCAACACTAAGAAACTACATCATACCACTTGTTGTTCACTGTTGATCAAACGTTTTAAAGTCAAATTCATTTAAAATGTTAAAATATATAAATAATCATCTGATGTGTTTAATTGCAATTATTCCTGTTTTGATAAAAAAAAAATCTGAGTAGTTCGATATTGACAGTGTCCAGAGCAAAATTAAGAAGAAAGAAATTGCATTAGTATGTGTATAACTAGTTATTGGACTTAGTTAGGTTTTTTTTCTTTCTGTTAACTTCTAGTCTAAGATAAAATGTTTTTCAGACATCAATATGACTTTGCCAAAGTTCATGGAATTTATGGAAAACTTCCTGGTTAGGGACAAATGCATCTGTTCATCATGATCAAAAGATAGTATCCAGAGCAAAATTTTAAAGTTATTTTTCATACGACCGCAAAAAAATTTTGCGGTCGTATATTGGTATCACGTCGTCGTAGTCGTCGTCGTCGTCGGCGTCGTCCGAAGACATTTGGTTTCCGGACAATAACTTAAGTTTAAGTGTATGGATTTCTATGAAATTTAATCAAAAGGTTCAATACCATAAAAGAAGGATTGGGATTGTTTTTGGGTGTGATGGTCCCAACCGTTTAGGAATTAGGGGCAAAAAAGGGGCCAAAACAAACATTTTTTCTAGTTTCAGGACAATAACTTGTGTATAAGTATTTTGATTGCTCTGAAATTGTACCACAAGGTTCAATACCACATGTAGAAGGTTGGGGTTCATTTTGGGGGTAATTGCCCAAACCTTTCAGGAATTAGGGGTAAAAAAGGGTCTAAAACAAGCATTTTTCGAGTTTTCAGACAATAACTTGAGTTTAAGTGTATGGATGTCTCTTAATTTGTACCATATTTTACAAAAAGAAAATCTCTTCAAAATTATTTTTTTGGAAAGGGGGGTAAAAAAAAATTTCTTTGGGGGGGGGGGGGCAATTTTTTTTCCTCAAAAGAAAATTCTCTTCAAAAATTATTTTTTTGGAGGGGGTAAAAAAAAATTTTTTTTGGGGGGGGTAAAAAAAAATTTTTTTGGGGGGGTCAATTTTTTTACTTTAAGATTTAAGAAACTGTCAATTTTCTAAAGAAAAAAATTGGGGGTCACAATTTACTTTGTTAAAAAAAGGGTATAAAACAAGCATTTTTCTAGTTTTCAGACAATAACTTGTGTTTAAGTGTATGGAGGTCTCTTAATTTGTACCACATTTTACAAAAAGAAAATTTCTCCAAAATTATTTTTTTTGGAAAAGGGGGGGGGGGGTAAAAGTTTTTTTTTTTGGGGGGGGGCAATTTTTTTCCCTCAAGATTTAAGAAATTGTCAATTTTCCAAAGAAAAAAATTGGGGTCAATTTATTTTGCTAATTCTTTTTATATAGTCTGAAAACAGATTTACTAAGTATTGCGCGACAGCACAGTGTATTGCACAACAGCAAGAAATCTTCAATTGAATATAAATTCAAATCATACAAGCAGTTTCAAGTTCTTTGATTACAGTTATTCTGTGTCAGAAACCTATAATGTGTCAAATATTTAATTACAATCCAAATTCAGACCTGTATCAAGCTTGAAAATTGTGTCCATTTTTGCCCCACCTGTTCTGGGTTGGACCTCTGCGGTCGTATCCAGCTGCGCACGGCGAAGCAGTTTATTTTAAATGTTATTTTTTTTTAGTATTTTACTGATATTAAAATGTACTCAGTTGTTTTCTTAATTTTAAGGTTAACGTTTTTCAGACATCAATAAATTGTAGGTATCTTTGTCAAACTTTCATTGAATGTAATGAACCTTGGACAGAAGTACTTCATGATCAAGAATTGCATCTGAAGAAAAAAGGTTGATTTTTTCATATTCATCAACGATACCAGGCTTATGATTTGGTACACCAGAAGTGCGTTTTGGCTACATAAGACTCATCAGTGGCGC